CGCAAGCTTAACAATCCACACTGAGTAAACAAGTCTCATACAACATAGGGTGCGTCCGTAAGATGAAAAATGCTGCCTTCGGAAGAAACTTAATTAAATATTCGCTTAGTTATCACCAAAACTCAAATTTTGCTGTAGATCATTAAAACGTTACGCTGCCCCTCAGAAGTCACTCCCAAATCAGATTTGTGAGATCGGGCAGTGCGGTAACAAGTCGGCTGCCTAAGCTTTCGAACCAAGAGCCACACACACGTTTGAAGGATCACACAGAGTGTAATATACTGACCATGGCAAAGCCAGACAGCAGGGCTGAGGTTCGGCTGGAGGCCTTGAGCTTGGCCCTGCTGAGGTAGAGTTTTCTCCATGAGAGAGCCTGGACCGAGTGATGGTTAGAGGTGACCAGCTCCAGATAACTGCGACGAACCCAGTCCCTGTAGTCCATGCCACCACCATCCTGCAGCCGGTCGGAGCCCCCGGGAGCGGGGGAGCCCATTGGCACGTTGAGCTCACTGCTCATATTAGCTGTGAATAATCATTTAATCACAATGTCATATAGCCTACTGTAGACAACGTATTTTTAATGTAAGAGCCATTTGTGTGTGTGGCCATTTGTAACGTGAATGTGTGAGGCTTCCCGTTATTCTGCTTGAGATTACAAACTATGCAAATAAATGTAATGACAACAATTGCCAAACATAAAAACACTGGTTTGTCATGCAAACATTTTTACTGTTAAAGGAGTAGTTCACTTTTGCTGATAATTTACTCACCCCCATGTCATCCAAGATAAATGTCATTCGATCTCGTTAATCAAAATGAACGAATCTTTTTCCGAGTCAATTTGTTCATTTGTGTTCGTTGAATGAACCAAATGACACAAAAAAAGATTTGTTCATTTTGATAAATGAGTTTGAACAGGAGAGTCATGAACGCGAATCACAGAACAGAGCAAGGCGAGCATTTGAGCTTATAAAACTTAAACTATGTTATTTTTTTTTTTTTAAATGAGCGATCGTTTCGCTTGCTAAGACCCTTATTCATCGTCTGGAATCGTTTAAAGCCCTTTGAGCAGTTTGCAGTTTGCACTGAAACTGTCTTTTAGACCTTGAACCGTTTGGTTCCCATTGAAGTCCATTATATGGAGAAAAATCCTGGAATGTTTTCATCAAAAACCTTCATTTCTTTTTGACTGAAGAAAGAATGACATGGACATCTTGGATGACATGGGGGTGAGTAAATTATCAGCAAAAGGTTTTTTTTTAAAGTGAACTACTCCTTTAACTGCAATTTATTTTTCCTTCTAGTAATAGCGGCTTATGAATTGTAAGTCTCAAACGTTTACAGAAAATAGCTTACTTCTGCATTGGAAAAAATAGACAACAAGATTTAAACGTCAATAAGCAACAAAAAGGAACCAGATATATGTGGCATATACCGGATACAATAGAAATGTCATGATTTCTGTTAATTTTTCAGGATATGCATCATGACAGTTTGATGGTATTTTTTGAAGAACCATAAATATAATATATACCATAAATACCAGGAGATATAAATATGGTAATCATTCAGATATCTGTGTGATATAATTATCTGAAACATACCTGATTGACCTTGCCCTGATTTAGGACTGGTTTTCATTGCACGTCTCTAGTAAAAAAAATAATAATAATAACATGTTACAGAATAAAATAATAAGAATAAGTAAATGTTAAGTAAAAAGAAATTATATAAAAACTAGGGCTGTCAAACGATTAATCATGATTAATCGCATCCAAAATAAAAGTTTGTGTTTACATAATATATGTGGGTGCACTGTGTATAATTATTTTGTATATATATATATATATATATATATATATAAAAATACACACACATGCATGTATATTTAAGATAAAAATATTATATATGAATTATTTATATATAATATAAATTATATAGATATATATATATAAATCTATATACAGTATATACATGAAAATATTTCTTAAATATATACAGGCATGTGTGTGTATTTATAATTATACACAGTGCACATATACAATGTACACATATATTATGTAAACACAAACTTTTATTTTGGATGCGATTAATCGTTTGACAGTCCTACTGAATTTTTTTGTCCCTGAAGGAAAAACTGGACTGTATTTGTCTTGAACTCTGAAATTGAAATATGGTGCTGTAGCATTCACTCTTCAAATCATTATATAAATAAGAAGAATAAAAAATAAAACCAAGTTAAATATTATGTAACAATAAAATGACATTAAGCCAATCAAAATAATACCTTCTTTATAACATAACACAGACTTAAAACCTAATAATACCTTAGATTTATCTGTAAAATGTACTACCAGAGACCACAGACTCCTACTTTGTATGTAGATCTAATATCTTTTTCATTCCCTGAAAGCTCACATGATAGGCTAACTCCAGAACTATCTTTTCCCCATAATCCTCACTGGCATCCACACCATACCCACTCACACTTATTTTTGCACTGCAAGCTGTTACAGTTAATCTATATCACACCGTTTTCTACTACAGCCTGGTAAAATAAAGATATCCTTTCTGATTCACTCCATGCAAGTCTAGGGCTGTAGCTAATGGAGCGGAAACAATACTGGGGAACCACAACATGTTCTAAATGTTATTTTAAAAATGGTTAACCATCTGAATAGAGGTTACTTATTAGCTTCTGATTCCTTTGAAGCAACTTAGTGATACGCCAACGATTTGTATCAATACATGTATCATTACAAAAATAAAATCACCATAAGAGTCATTACTTACTCACTCTTGAGTTGTTCCAAACCTGGATGAGTTTCCAGACAGTTGATGGACCCCATTAACTTCCATAGTAAGAATAAAAATAAATACAATGGAAGTCAATGGGGTCCATCAACTGTCAGGTTACCAACATACAACAAAGTATTTTATTTTGTGTTCAACAGAAGAAACTCATACAGGTTTGGAACAACATGAGGGTGAGTAAATGACAAAATTCTCATTTAGGGGTGAGCTACCCCTTTAAGAACACAGGAAGCAGACACATTTAAAAAGCTTTTTGGACGTTTGTTTGTATAGTCTATTTCCATATTATTTTGTAAGGATCTGGTGCTCATATCAGATCATACAGTGGAGCCACAAAACATTGAATATGCTTTCCACATACCTTGATATTCTACAAAAAGCATGTGGTTATTTTTGTAAAGATGAAAGTAGCTGCGTTGTGTTGGTTATTTAAATGAGCGCCACGTCATACCCATCCGCTTGGGACAAAAATACGTGTTGTGAACAGTCTTTGTCCAAACATAAGCGTCTACAAGAGGTTATTTTGCAAACCGGAGCTATACACAATGAACGCCAGGCCACAGATGTGTTTCTCACCACACACAACTTCCTTTACTGTCCACAGAAGCACACAATGAGAAAGCATCACAGATCAAACATGCAAAGCTGTAACGTTACTGAAGTCATCAATACTCACATCCAACTCACATTTGCTGCCAGTCACTCTTTGTGTTCACATCCCCATGGGGCCGATTGAAAGTGAATACTGAAGAGAAACGGACGTTGACAGCTCTAGCTGGACATGCTCATCCGATCAAGCGATGTCCGATTACTGGACGAATCGTTCTTTTGTGTCGGATCTTTAGAATCAGTCTGAGCGGTTCTCGAGTCTGCGATTCATTGAACTGAGAATCGTCTGCGCCATGGACATAAGACTCACAATTAGCCGAATAGCAAAATATTGATAATAAAATCTACTAGGAAATATGTTTATTACTTAACTGTATGAGTTGTATCAACACACATAGAACATATAACTACCTTAATATTTATTAATAACATGCATACCGAAATACTTTTAATATAATTTATGAAAGATGTAAAAAAAAGATGGGGATGTAAAATAATTGTACTACTGTTTAATTAATGGCCTATAGATGTATTGAGGTTCTAAAATACTTTTTGAGCTGAAGCTTGGCTGAGCAAACTGAAGAGAACACGTGAAATACCAATATTTTAAATACCTCTTTCTGAAGAGGACACATGAAATACTATACAATAAAGTACATAAGTTTATTGAATGGAAACGTTATGACAGGCATGGGATGCCATGCCAATTCTGAATCAGTTGCTTGAAAGATTCGAAAGAACCGGTTCGCGTAGACGATTCAGACTTAAGTCACGTGATCTCTACTAAGTTTATCACGTCATGAGGGAGTGCCTGCCCTGTTCTATCCCACCTGGAAGCTTTGCTTTTACCATTTTACGTCGCAATAATAATAAATAAAAAAATTACGTTTTTGTTTAATTGAATGCATTTTGCTAACTTCTGCTATTTTCAAACCCTCTCTCTCCTGAGCCGTGGCTTTATCTGCAAAGGCGGGATTTTTTCCCAAAGACGTCAATCACAACAATGTCCCGATAGCGCAAAATGAGTGACAGACAGAAAGCGTGCTCTGATTGGCCAGTTTCGTACATGGGCCAGCCCCCTACTACTCCTTGAGTTGTTCACAGAGCCTTTCGCTTAGGTAGGCGTTTTCTGAGGACCAAATATTTTAGTGAAATCCATCTAAAAATAGATTTTTTTTCTCTAGCTGACAGCACAGTTAGATTATATATAGTACACTTTGTAGTAATTCCGCGGAATTTGACAATTATTACAAGTAATTAGCTTTATTTTAAGGTGACGCAGTGGTTTAGAGTTAGTTACTTGTAATTACGCATAATTTACAATAAATAATATCAAAAGTACATGTAGTAACGTAGAACTATATCACCTTATACTAAAGTGCTGCTGAAGCCATACATTAAATTGTTGTAACTTCTATTTTTTTTTTTGGTGAATGAAGTTCACTCTTCATATTTTTTATCAGTGTGTATATGTATGTATGTTTTATATATATATATATATATATATATATATACATACACATATATGTTACATTAAAAACCAACAAAGAACTGAGAAAGGGGAAAAGACACAAAAGTTCTCATCCATAATTTTATAATGCCCAAAAACTATGTGTATTTGGCATCTATGTAACGCAAATTCAACAACAAAAGAAAAAGAAAAAAAAAATCAGTAAAATGATCCCATCCTAGACATCATTCTGGGTGCATCATGCCACAATTTGGCCTTATATATAAACAAACGGAATATGTTAATATGTGCATGTTATTTTCATTCTTAATCACCCAAAACCTGCTGTACATTATTCATTACACTAAATCATTATCAGTATGTCCATGTTTTTAAAGTCAAAGTTAATACTTTTCAAATTCCACCAGTAGGGGGCAAACATGGACAACAAATCTGAAGCACTCGAGAACAGATGAGCAGAATACACACACAGGCTCCTTTCCCTGCAAGTCATTTCAAAAGGACAGAAAAGAAACCACAGGCACAACATTACAAGACAAAATATGTTACGGATTACTTTTACTATGTGAACTGAGTCGTTAGCTTAGCATTTCAACTTGGGGACAATTTCGAATCCATTCTGGTAAACAAATCTCAGTCTCAAACATGTTGGCATCCTTTTAGAACGAAATTAACAAAACCCATCAAGACACCATAAGTGCAACTAAGCAGTATAAAAAACATCCATTCAAATATGAGCATCTCTATAAACACTGTTTGCTGGAGAAAATGACAAGACAAAAACAAAAAAACAATATATTTTGCTCTACGCTAACCATTTGCAAACCATTTCAAGCATGAAATCTACAACAAACTCTTAAGCTCATGTGGTCAATATGAAATATGTCAAAACTCAACATCAGACTGGTGTGAAGAAAGACTCACAGCATTTTTCAGTCTTTCTCATAAGGCAGTTGACCTCTAGTCGGAGTAAAAGAGCTTCTGCATCCACCGCTGGAGTGAACACTGCATCTTTAAAGAGTTCACTCATGTTTCTGAAGGAAACCAGAATATGGCTGTCAGGAGCATCTTCATCTAGAGTCTGAAATGCAAGGACTCGTCTCACGCTGGACAGTAACATGCTGGATTTTAACTGCTAAAGAAATCGCTTAGCAATCTTAAGGCTGAAAGTTTTTCTTTTTTTTTTTTAAATCACAACGACAAACAAAACGCAATGTGAATCCTGAGCATGACACCAATAATCTGCTGAAAATGTGATGCAGTGAATGAGGACGGGTAATACGAGCGAAAGGCTAACGGCTGAACGTCCTGATTTTGGTTCAACTTCGTCCTTTAATATCTTCAACATGGTGACTAACCACAAGCTCTATGAATAGGCCATGACATCAAACTCTGAAGCTTTCTCCTTTGCCATCAATGTGCCGGAGGCGCAGGTAGACGTCTGTGCCGATGCCCTGCATCGACTGGATGGCCAAAGAACCTCCTAAGTATTCGGCGTACGCTCGGGATGTGGGCAGGCCAAAGCCAAACCTGGAGGAGAAAACAAGCGGCGTTATTGAGATGTTCTTCGGTTACCTCGAATAAACCTTAAACTTAGCTTAATTAATGAATAAACAACACTAAAAAAGGAAACAAACTCTTTTAATTAGACAAGACTACCAGTTGGGCTGGGCAGGATGAGGATATAAGGCCGGATTCACATATAGCGCCAAAAAAAAAACCACATAGAAAACGCTGGGCGCACCGCATTCTCCTTTTTCCAAAGTGCTAGGGCGGTTGCGCTACGGTTGGTTCTTGTCACGTGACCTACTGTGCGCTTATAGTGCGCTTGCGGCATTCTGAAAAGTTAAGATGTTTTTATCTCGATGCGGCGCCGACACGCTTGGAAAAAACGAGCGTGTCACTTCCATTATAATATGTGAAGTCTTAACACTAAAAAGTCATTTTCTGCCTTTTATCGGCCAAGAAGGACCCAAATTAGAAATTTATGATACTATTCTACTACATATATGACCCACTTTCAATACATATTCATGTCTCCACCGGTGGAATTACCCTTTAATAAAGTTGTTTTTTTCACACAAAAAGTATTCTCATCACTTGATAAACTTAAGGTTGAGCCACATTTTTAATCACTTGGACTATTTTAACAACGTCTTTATTAACTTTTCTGACCTGTCAGATCCAATTACCTAGCAGTCTATGAAGGCGTGATCCAGCTCTCAGATCTAATAAAAAATATCTTACGGGTTAAGCAAAAGTCTTATGGGTTTGGAACAACATGACGGTGAGTATCGGTAATTACTGACAGAATTTTTGGGTGAACTAACTAACTAATATTACTGCGAATTAACGAAGTGTGAGACTGTGAATCGATGCATATCGGTAGAAGATTGAATCGCGATTCATATATGAATAAAACTTTTCCATCATTCCTACTATATTGTGATATACATTATAGTGAAATAAAATCTCATATCATATAAAAAGTTTTTGGTCATATCGCCCACACCTAACAGTTGGCATCTGTTCTTCAGAGGGCAGTGTGTGTGTGACACTATACTCCAAAGACTAACCGATCCAGATAGAACTGGCTGAATCTGGATCATGTGCAGATTACTTTAGCTATTACTCTGGTCTTGCAAGAAAGCAAAGAATCTTGCAAAGTCAGCTGCCGCATGTGGACAAGGTGTAAATATTTACATGCGAAGAGGTGAAAAGCACTTTGCAGATTGCGAAAGAGAAACATGATCCCAAACAGCACATCAATAATTGACATAAAATCAAACAAAGCACCAACATTTTAATTAAAGCAGCATGTTTTGGTACAGATTTAGATCCATCTGCTCTTACCCATGCATGGGTCCGGACTGGGGGCCGCTGTTGGTTATGCTGTCGAAAAGGTTGCTCATGCGAGGATCCTGTGTGCTCTGTTCAGCTGTGCTGAAGTGGTAATCCATCACCTTATCCAGAATGCTGTGAGGAATGCCACCACCACGGTCGGAGATCCTACAAAATCAGTTCAACATCACTTTGCTATGTTTCCAGTTTCATTTGCTTGTGCACTGCATATACATCATTTGCAAACAATTTGTATGGAAAAATATTTTATAACCGGTCTGAAAATCAGCCATCGGGAGTCAAGCTAGTGGAGGTGAATGGACTAAGGCCGTGTGTCCACCAAAGCATTTTTTCACGCGCCTGGTGTATGTTTTCAATTGTTTTCAATGGGAGCGCCATAAACGTTTTTTGAGCGTACCGAGGCGCTGAGCGTTTTTTTCACGCTGAAGCGCAGAGCGTCCGGCGTTTTTATTGGTCGCTGGGAGTTGAAAAATATTCAACTTTGGATAAAAAACAGCACTCAACACCGTCACTTTTTACCCAGCCGTCCAATCACAGTGGAGGAGAGGCGGGACTAATACCACACCGACCAACTGTCAACATTCAAACTGCTGCGGATATTCTGTATCATAGCAACGAAACGACAACGTCTCAACGGAAAAAACGCTGTGCTGCCAAAACGCTCTCAAGCGCCCAAAGCACGACGTCTTCAGCAGACTGGCTAAAAACGCTTTGGTGGACACACGGCTTAATAACTCGAATATCACAGCTTTCTGGATCAAAATACGGGCGAGCTGTTTTAGTGGTTTCCTTTAGTGTGGTTAAATGAAAGGTGAAAATTTGCGCCTACATCATCATTATACTTGTTTGATGTTTACAAAGGATATGTGGTGTACTGATCCAAAATGAAGGTGACTTATAATAATAATAATGATAATAATAATAATAGCCAATTTAGTAGTAATAAATATGTATTTACTATTACAGTGAAGACCTATTTTGTCCAGCTTATTTATTTTAATATTTACTTTTGCCATTTTCGGCCATTTTTCGAGCGAAGTGAAAGAGAGAGAGAGGGACAGAATCAGGATTGGTATGAGTCAGGAGTCATATTGACCGATTCATATCAGAGCGCTGCCCACAAGGCTATCAGCTATATTTTTCATATTTTTGAAACAAAGCCAAAAAAAAAAAGGTTACACTTTTTTTGTAGCTAAGATTATTACCTAAACTACAATTCAGAAAGTTGGGGTGTAGGGCTGCAACAACTAAACGATAAAATTGATTATAATCGATTATGAAAATCATTGTCAACAAATGCCATTATCGATTAGTTGGTCTGATTACGTCACGGGGATTGTTTACTGGTGATTGATGACATGCGCACTTTTGATTCCGTGAGTTTGAACTAATTTGCGGGCACCAGGGAACCGCCATCAATATATGCGGGTGACTCTCGGAACTTCCGGGACACTTGGGATGTCTGTATTTTGTCTCGTGCATCATGTTGCGCAATCTGTTCGCTCGCAACGTTACATAAGTGATGGATTAAAATAGCGCCACCGCAGAAATAGGTGAAATTAAAACGGTATTTACAATGTGAAGCACTAAATATATAAAGGCAGTTAATAAAAGCAGCAGTAAAATATTGTTTAGTTTGTTTAGTCACTGTACTCAGTGGTACTCATTTTTCCTGTCCATTTAATCAAGCCTTTTAGCTTGATGTGTACGTAAGTTACCTCTATTACGTTCTCTTTTTATAGCATTTGTCTTAAGTTTGAATTGTTTTTCAAACGCGATCTACGGCGGCTCTACACTCAAACGCTTGTTTTCAGTCTATATTTTTTTTTAACAATTTATCCTTATAATTCAATTAATTTTAACTAAAAATTAAATTAATTCTATATTTGAGATGTTTTTAGTTTATATCTTCACACTGAACAACATGTCTGTGTAAATTTGTTTTAACAAAAATTGTGTTAAAATATAACATACCATTACATTAATCATGGTTGTCAACTTAGTTGCCATCAGCAATTATCATTAAAAACAATGCAAATATTGAAATTAGTAAAACTCAATGTGTGGCTTTTGTACTTTTTAAAGTACACTTTTACACATAAATACCCTTGTGGCGAGCAGGACGAGGCCGAGGGACGTGGGAGAGCGTCGCGAGGCTGGTGGCGTGGGTGATAATGAACGACACCTGTGAGACGCACCTCGCATCTCTCACGTTCCTCGGCCTTGTCCAGCTCGCCACAACCCTAATTTAGGGTTTTATTTAGTTATAATAAACAAAACAATCAAAGAGAATTTTTTTTACTCGATTAATCGAAAAAATGATCGTCCGATTAATCGATTATCAAAATAATCGTTAGTTGCAGCCCTATTGGGGTGTGTGTATACAGTAGATACCCGGGCTAGGAAAACTGACATCACCCTTTATTCAAAAATTATTAACAATTTGTTAAAGATTTGTAAGCATATTGCGTAGATGTGCTTAGAGTCAAGTATTTTATTTGTGATAACGCAATGAAACATGTCCAATTGTGCACACACAATTTTTGGCAAGGCTTTAAAAACAAAGAAATTATGAACGCATGCGAAAACATCATGTAGTCTGAACCCGGCATAATGTAAATGTCAATGTTTCATAAGCCTTTAACTTTCTAAACTGTGTACACATCAAATGGTGCTAATGGATTTACATTGGACCAAAAACAGAGGGCTTTGCTGCCCATTAAATGCCAGTGCCACTGAAACACAAGTAAGTGGAAAGCCTTCATGCTTTCAATAAGACAACGAGTTTATGGTAAAATAAACATTGTCCATGGGTAAATTTACTCAGTGTCGACAGAGGGTTGAAGCGCACTGCTGAGTGTGCACAGCTAGATAATGGACATGGTTATAAAGGCAGCACTCCACATGATGAGGTCTCTGTGCAAATATTTGAGAACTAAATGCTTCGCTATGGATGCTAATGTCTCAACAAATTATTTCCAGGAAAAAGCGTTAAAAGGCTTCGTTCAGATTAGACAGCCAACAATCAAGATAGTTTCGGCACACCTGACTCAGATCTCTTTCCTTTTGAACTCCAAACTGCACAAAAACTCCTTTTTATTAGATAAAGCTGTTCTTTTGAAATCAGATTTAAATTTGATTGCATGTATTAGTGTGAAAGTTTTTTGTTTTTCAAAACTCATGTTTATGTAACCTCAAACATTATTGTAGAATAGATTGTGTGACGTGGTTCAATGGCATTAGAATCGGTTTACGGACTCACCTTATGACAAAGTCAGTGTCATTGTTGGCAATTGTGACCACCACATCAGGCACATTGTAAGGGGTGTCCAAGTGACTCTCCATGGTGGCCCTGAGGATCAAAAAGAAACCTTTCATGAGTAATCTCATTTAAACATCAGATAACATGAGAACAAATCAATTAACTACGAAAGCTCTCTTTTTATTTTGTTACGTGATTATGTATTTGAGAATGACGATCTGCATTTAAATGCAAATGAGCGTGGTTTTGCGATACTAATTTGCATTTGTGGACTTGAAATCGTGGTTTGATTAACGTGAGGCGTTACCACATTGCCGGCATCCATTGTGAAATGTTATTTCTTCTGTTTGTTTTGGTAAAAGACAAATATAAATCTTTACTTTGAATTGCTTTGGTGGAATTTTTTTTAGGGTGGGTTATTATACATTGTGTTCTTTGTGTGTAATTGGTGGTTTTTGAGCTATCTGGCTAAATCATTCAATATGGTAGACTTAAAACTACCTGGCGCCTGAACTAATTAATTTCCAAGTTAAAAACTCCTTTGGCAGGGGTGTGCCACAGTTACACCACAATAGTTGAAGGTGAAACTGCAACTGATGCACATCTACTGAAATATAGACTGAAGGACAGACATTTTCATTGGTCAACAAGAATGATTCCAAGTTGTCATTAATCAGTGATTTGAGGATGCAAAGCCAACTCTACAACAGACCATTTCAGTATCTGAGATTGCTTGCTCAACATTTAGATATTGTTTGCTGTAGGCTAGTCCTGAATAGGGTCGAGTATGGTTTGGGCTTTTTACGATACCGGTGCCAAATTAATACTTTTAAAACCGGTGCCTAAACCGATTCTTTATATATATATATATATATATATATATATATACACACATATACATATACATATATATATAAATATATATATATATATATATATATATACATAAATAAATTAATTAAAAGAAATTGGTAAATGCCATTAAAAGGTGCAAAACGCAAGTCTCTGAGTTTTTGCAAAACTACACCCCCTCTGGCAACAAGCGAAACTGCAACAAGGTGTGCGCTCATGGATCACACCATAGACTGTAAAAAGGATCACACACGCACGTTTGCGCGAGCTGTTCATAACCAAAGGAGCATCAGCCGCACACATCTTCTGTTGAATCTTTTGTCATAATGAGGTAATAAAGTTATAAATCTGCAAGTCATTTAAAATATATGAAAGTCGACTGCCGACCACTCTGAGCTGGAGGACGCGTTTACCAATGCCGCCCAGAGGAACGGTGCATGGGGTGACATCATGTCAGAATCAAATGTAATAAAATGCCTAACTTTATCATTATTGATATTGAACAACTAATTTTAATTATGTTAAAATTATATATAATATAAAATTTTATATATAATATAAAATTATTATAATATAATTATATATTACGTACTCATTTTAATTATGTATGGGCTCTATGCACGGCGGTATCCCGGTGAAGGTCTAACTTAAGGATGCTCGATAACGTCCGTCAATCGTTTTTATGTTTTATATTTTAATTTTATACTCCTTGGTTATACTAAAGAAACGTTAGTCACAAAAACACCCCTAGTTGTGTTTATGCTTCTTTTTAAAATTATATTAAATAAACATAACTATATATAAAATTACATCTAAACGTATGAAAGTTTCGTTTCAAAGACGGGAGGACAGTAAATTTTGAAGACTCTGCCAAAATCCCGTTTTCCTCGGTTTTCCTCCGCTTTAATCTCCCCAACCGGAAACTAAAGAGCATCCTTGCGTCAAATGCGGAACTTATGCGTGCAAATAGCCTACTGGTATACATACAGTTTAAACAAAGTTGGGAAAAAGTTTTTAATTTTCAAAGCAAAAATGTTTTGAAGTCGCATATTTTGACCAATCAAAAGTTCAGGTGCCACTGTGCCTACTCATTTTAAATAAATCGAAGCCCAGAAATCAAATGAATGAGGAATGGGATGTGCTGAGTATCCCAGTCTGTGTCTCGGGACGCTCTCAGTAGGGGGAACAGTGCTGTTGTAAACCAACTGTGACCTGTCCTTCTGCCAGGAACATGCTGTTCTCTAATGACTGTCTGAAGAGCAGTCTCATCCAAGTGTAAAGAAACCATGAGAACAAGGTCAGAAACATGTCTGTGAATTTGTAACAAGAAGCACAAATCAAATTTACAGTACTGCACTGTAATGGAGGTCATTTGGCAAAGGCATAAAAGCAGTTACTAATAGGGCTGGGTATTGAGACAAATTTCACAATTCGATTTCGATTCACAAGCTTGCAATTCGATTCGATTTCGATTATTTTGGACATCAGTTACAATAAATGGCTATTTTTCTCAAGGGAATCAAATCTCTAAAATGCTGTAAACTATGGGAGTCTAGTTGTAGCCAATAGGCTTCATTTTATTTATTTTTATAATAAGATTATATGAAATATAAACATTTAAAAGGTGGCTGTCATAAAAACTTGCCAGATTTTTAGTCAAATATGCATTAAATATTGAAGAACATTAAAATTATAATGCATATGTAATATGCTGTATATATTTAGCAAAATGCTCCTCTCTAGAGTTATTTTTTCTAGCTGACAAACGAGTTTATGTGGGTTTTCTGAGGTAAATATGACGATACATGACATTGATTACAAGCTGTTTAACTGACGTCTTTTCACGGTTGAAACGCTGATTGAGCGAATCAATGTGACATGATACGGATTTCGATAAGTTGTACTCTATCTTTTAACACACTTTCAGATGCTCATTCATGTTTATTTCGCACGGTAACTGGTATTATTAACCCGGAAGAGAGATCAGCGCTGCTGCTTCTCTTGAGCTGCGCTAGAGCGATCTCACGCCACAGCGCCAAAACGTTATTTATGTTTTTTAATTTCTAAAGAAAATGGACGTAATTTGAAAATTGAGACTTTGTTTCATATCAATAGTAACAAAGGACAAAGATTATTGCGATTTTTTGGATGCGCGCAGCCGAGATACAATGTCCCATTCATTCAAATGAAACAGGATGACTAATCGATTCTTGAGATTTAAGAATCGATATCGGTTCGTAAAAATGAGAATCGATTAATATCGAGAAATCGATATTTATTACCCAGCCCTAGTTACTAATATTTATTGTTAAAGAATAAAAATGAATTCTTCTGAAAAAAAAGTAAAATACAATAAAATTCCCAGAACTAGGCAATGAATTTCTCATTATTTCATTCAAACAGTCCATTCCACACTCGATCCTATAGTGTGAAAGTCAAGTTTAGTGGCTTTACACATGCTTGCACAGTCAAGATTAATACTTTATTATTATTTTTTTTACAATAATCTCATGTTAGGTTTAAATCTGGTGGCCAATGCGATGTTTTCTCTATACTAGACAACTTTTGTAAGAGTTAAATGCAAACATTTTGCTTTTCATTTTAAAAGTGGAGGAACCAGTCAGACTTATTTTTTGCCGCAAACAACGACATGTTGTGGTTGTTTTTGACATCTGTGACAATCTGGGTCCGGAATTAAGGTTTCTATCTCATTTGTCAAATTGCTGTAGACCTCCAGGCCGCTCTATTGATTGTCATGCAGGTATGGAGATATATATGGTAAAATAAACAATCATTATTTTGGATTATCATAGAAAACCTATATCGTAACATTGAACTTGTGCTGAACTTGGCCAGCAGCCAGTGTAAGCAGCACCAGTAACAACAGATGGGTGACCTTATAGGAACTTGCAGAGAATGCAAAATATTCACAGAGATGGTGTGTGTGTGTGCATGTCTGTGTGTGTCCTAGGATAGGTCCCATAACAAGAAATTCAGCTTTCAAGGTGTTGTCTGCACATGCAGACCTCAATGCTACAAAAATAGGGTGCTGTGGTTGGATTTGAGTGCGTTGCTCTATAATTATTATTAGGGCATGCAGGGTGGTTGCAAGGGCACCGTTACGTGGTAATGGTATCTATGGGATACTTTCACCAGTTATTCATTATTCAGCAGGTGAAAAAATGAGCAATGATTCTTGTCTAAGCAAGCTCAAACAATAGAAGTTTAGAAGGTCTGTAAGGATAGTATTAGCAAAATAACCGACTAAATCAATTATTACCAATCAAGTAGAATAGTTTAACACCACACTGCAAAAAAAAAATGCTTTTCTTATTTTGTCTAGTAAATGCACCTTGATTTAATTTTTTTTGATATTTGGAATGAAAACAAAAAAATACCAAGTAAGAAAATCATTTTTTGCAGTGCATTAATGTATTATGCGAAACCTTTCAAATAACCTTAACATTCTTCAATTTTTTTAGAATTATTATCCTAGTACAATCCTTAATTTTAAAGATTTATAAATACACAGTAGTGGTCAAAAGTGATGTCCAGTCTAGGAGAATATAGATCTTCACCCTTTAAACAAATATTATTAAAAATGTGTTAAAGATTTGTAAAATCATTAAAGATTTTGTAAGCATATTGCTTTGTGATAACACAATGAAACATGCCAAATGATGTAATGTTTGGCCATGCTGTAACACAAATAAATTAACGAAATTAACGGCAAAAACAAGATAACTAAAAAAAAAAAAAAAGTTTTTGTTTTGCTTTTGTTTATGATGTTTTTTGCGCACTAAAATGAAACCTGTAGCTTGCTTTTTTTGCCAAATAATTGTGAGATAAATCTCTTAAACAATTTTAGTGTTTTGTTCTTCCTTCATATTTAAAACATCTAAATAAATAAAACATTTGCCTCATATTTTGACGGTTTAATCAAACTTCCTGGATCATAAAAAACAAATATGCCCTCCAGACTTCAATTTTTAAATATTATCCAATTATAATATCTGCCACTATATTGTGAAATAATTATTATTATTTTTTTTACATTTGGAGAAATTATAAGCCTTGTATGATAAACACTTGTATCACTTCAGTGCCTTAGATTTCTCTGTTTTCATTTAAATGATCCTTTCATAACTTCAGTGTGTCAAACGGTTGGTTCTCAATGAGCCATGCTTGCCATAACTGCGACAGATTAAACAGAAAACGCCCAACAATCCAGTACAACCAGGAAAAGTTGGTTTCCTGCACAACATCCCTGAAATGTAAATGACTCGTTTTTGACTGGCCTTTCACCGAAGGCTATTGTGTTCACACAAGGTCAAAATACAATAACTCCTTTATGCACTGAAAGACAAAATTGCGCACACATATATTTGGGTCATAGTTAATGCAGCAACAGAATTCCCTGCATTATAGTAATAATGGTTCAATGTTGTGTATATGAGTGGCTGCTAAGACAACAACACTTGCTACAGTCCAAATAATACAACCGCATCAACAGCAAATCTGACTGTCACACCAGGATTAGATAGTTAAGACAGCATAGTGTGTCGTCATTGACCTATATGTGTGACAGGAATGTTACCTCATGGCGTTCTTCAGCAGCTCAGGCAGGATGTAGTCCAGCGGCAGTGGAATGAAGGGAAAGCGGGCCGCCACATGGCCGTTGATGCGAACGCGTGGAGAGTTCCCATACTGATGCTCACAGAGCCGTCTGCAGGGAACAGAGGCATTGAGACATTTACACTACCAGTCAAGTTTGGACAGATGATCTTTCTCAGTCTTCTATCAGCCTGAGAGGTTGACTGTTAAAGGGGACCAATTATGCCCAATTTTAAAAGTCTTGACTTTGCCTGAATGTTCAAAATAAAAATAAATAACTACATTATTTTTCACATTATTACAGCACCTCTCTTCCCAGTCTGTCAGTACTGTTTTACTTCCTGTCTTTGTGCTCTGATTGGGCGGCTGGAGCAGTGTGTTGTGATTGGTCAACCACTTTGAGTATTTTTCAGCCCTAAATGCAACAGCGAGTTTCAACATTACTAACGCGATATGCCTTAAAAGGAAATGATTAAAATGTGGAATACTGTGACATAATAGCATAATAGGTCCCCTTTAAATAAAATTTGTGGATACCAAACACTGATTTAGTGCACGAGAAAAGACTGGATCTGGCGTCAGATCTAATATTTCTGAACTGGAGACTAAATCTAACACTTATTAATTCTGGATTGTCATTCAATCAAACAACAAATAAAATGTCAATTAGAAAGTCAGTCTTGTAAAGAAATTATTTCCCTAAAAAAATTTCACACATTTCATCATAAGCTTTTCGATCAAAATGTTTTTAGAAAATTCGTTAAAATTAGAATTCATTAAAATCATTCGAATTCATTATGAATTCAGTTGTTTTAAACATATGATATTGTGGAAAAACAAAAAAAAAAAACAGCATACAGAGAAAACTAAGTGCAGGATACCGGTTATGCAAGTGCTGCTGTTGATATACTGAATTATAGCCAGCCATTTCATTAAAAGCCATTTTAGAAATAATATTGACACTAATTAATGAGAGCGTCTCATTTATAGCCAGTATATTCTGGTCTCGGTCTGGTCTTTGAGGGAACACTTTGATCATCCCACTGTGAAGAGGAACAGGACGGCTTTGCTGACGCAGCATCTGTTAATCATCATACTCTCATTTTCAGGATGAAAGATCAAGTTGAATTGCTGCATCCCAATTCCAATAGAAACTCTCCTCATGTGTTTGCATAATGACCCATTTAAAAGGTAATGACCAAATGAATAATCATTAGTCAAATCCTTTCTAATTAAACATCACACATCTGCCATGTTTTAGTGGTTTGTAGCACTTTTTATTAGTGTTTGTAGTTCTAATCGAATCCTCGTCTAATGTGCAATGGGTTGTGGGAAATATTAGCCGTCAGAATGTGCACAGATCTGCAATTCTAACCAGAAATACTCATTTCAACATACTACGATTTGGGACACACTAATTCTAATTTCAAATACTGTTTAGGAGAGATAGTATGTGAATTGTGAAAAAGCAATTGTTTGGAAAACATCAGAGAAGTAAAATAAGGGTGATGGTGCAGGCGCATGAAGCTTTAGCAACTGCACATTCCTCATGAAACCTGTGACCACATACTGTACACAGCCTGCATTGTGACCTGATTCTTCTCAACAGTGATTTATAGGAGGCAAATATGCGAGACAGGCGTAATTTGCCCGTGGGACGGGTGGAACATGACCCCAACAATTTACAACACACAAGACATCAGTGAGAAAGTGTTTGAGTTGTTTCATACAGCCATCCTCAGGACATGGAAGTTCCTGTTTCAGTTTTATTATGAAAACTTTGAACTGCTGACCCAGTTTTACAATATCATACTTAGTAGGGCTGGGTATTGACACAAATTTCAAAATTCGATTCGATTTCGATTAACAAGCTTGCAATTCGATTCCGATTCGACTCAATATTGATTATTTTGGATATCAGTTACAATAAATGGCAAATTTTCTCAAGGAAATCAAATCACTTAACTAATGCTGTAAATTATGGGAGTCTAGTTGTAGCCTATAGGGTTCATTAGCCTAATATGAAGGTAATAATTAACTGTTTTGTAGCTATGCAAACACTTAAATTACACTTTTATTTATTTTTATAATAAGAAGATTATAAACATTTAAGTGGTGGGTGTCATAAAAACTTGCCAGATTTATTCAAATATGCATTAAATATTGAAGAACATTAAGATTATAATGCATATGTAATATGGTGTATATATTTAGCAAAATGCTCCTCTCTAGAGTTATTTTTTCTAGCTGACTAACGAGTTTATGTGGGTTTTCTGAGGTAAATATGACGATACATGACATTGATTACAAGCTGTTTAACTGACGACTTTCCACGGTTGAAACGCTGATTGAGCGAATCAATGTGACATGATATGGATATCGATAAGTTGTACTCTATCTTTTAACACACTTTCATGTTTATTTCGCGCTGTAACTGGTATTATTAAGCCGGAAGAGAGATCAGCGCTGCTGCTTCTCTTGAGCTGTGCCAGAGCGATCTCACGCCACAGCGCCAAAACGTTATTTATGTTTTTGAATTTCTAAAGAAAATGGACGTAATTTGAAATTTGAGACTTTGTTTCATATCAATAGTAACAAAGGACAAAGATTATTGCGATTTTTTTGATGCGCGCAGCCGCGATACAATGTTCCATTCATTCAAATGAAACAGGATGACTAATCGATTCTTGAGATTTAAGAATCGATATCGGTTCATAAAAATGAGAATTGATTAATATCGAGAAATCGATATTTATTACCCAGCCCTAATACTTAGAGATGCACCAATTGATCAGCTGGAGACCGGAATCGGCCGATTTCCACGTGATCGGCCATGATCGCGGTTTAATCCGATTTTATGCCGGTCAAATGCCTGGCGCATCATGATTAACATTGCGCAACAACAGCATCACACGTGCACACGGAACGCATATGTAGTAAAACTCGTGAATTACGGCCTTTTCACACCGCATGTGGGAGCAGCCCGTTTTTTTTTTTTGTTAATCAATGAGTGCATTCACACCGGGAGCCGGAGTTGGGCGTGAGCGTCGAGCAGGAGCGCCACGTGAGCAGCAAAGTGCAGGTTTTGGCACCGAGTCTATTTTTGCTGCTCTCAATTAAAGTGAAAGCACACTTTTGATGGACAAAATACATACGATTTCATCCATAAAGTGCTCAAAATGCACAGAATTTGTTTGTGTCAGAAGTTTTAACAAGAACTGAAGTAGGCTAGGCCAGTGTTTCCCAACCCTATTCCTGGTGGCACACCAACAACAGTTGAATCAGGTGTGTTTGATAAGGGAGACAAAGAATACGTGCAGTGTTGGTGTGCCGCCAGGAACAGGGTTGGGAAACACTGGGCTAGGCCATGTCAGAAAAGAAAAGAAGTTTAGTTTGCTAAATATATCCCAATTGTTTTTTTTTGTTATTGGATGTGAAAAGGAAATGGTTCTTCCATGACAATGCACTTTAGATGTGTGTGAATTTCCCACACCAGGAGTAATTTATATAGTTCCATTATCTGTTAATTGAAGAGAAGATAGAAAATCAATATTTGTGTGTGCTGTAAAGTGGTTTGAAAAAATGTAATCGGAATCGGCTTAAATCAGTATCGGCAGGCCCGACCGATAAAGGATTTTGAAGGCTGATACCGATACTAATATTTGTTGGGTTTAAAATCCGATACATATATATATATATTCAGAAACGTGCAACAAAACATATTTTTAACTAAAATAATATGATAATGCATTTTAAAAATAAACGTGTTTCTTTTATTGTCACAACAGAACAGACTGATGATAGTGGCATTAGCTAGCTTTGTGGTTAGTCTATTTTAGCAATGGATAACGTCATACTGTAAATTGTAAAATATACATTTTCAAAATAACAGGCCAAGGAGAGATGATACTAGCCTGGTTCTACCAGACTCTCGTACATACATTTCATTTGTACAGAGAGTCTGGCCTCCCTCAATTGAGAAACGTTTCCTTCCTTGTAGGCGGGTTCACTATTAAAGTTCAAATCTATTGGATCTGCCCAGAGTCACTCACGATCTGCCATAGCCAATCGCTAATGTGTGGTCGTGAGTGAGGTATGTCATGCGCCAAAACGGCTGGAAACAACCATAGACAGTAAAAGAAACAACAAGTCCGAACTCCGAATGATGAGAGGATTAAATTTACAATAGGATTTCAGTCAACGAGAGCTGCAGGTTTTGTTAATCTAGGAACAATTATTAATTCGAAATGTATATTTGACATGAAGGACAGTGATTATTCAGTCAATGCTGTAAGTTACAGTGAATGATCAGTCTGTCTGCAGATGTGTAATAAACAACAATTTTTCATATTACGTATTTTTGTTTCTTAATTACCTTAATTATGGTCTTCAAAGTATGTGTTTGTACATTTTTATATGGCATTTAGTTGTTTTTTTTTTATTAAAACAAATAAACCATTGACATCTAAAACTGAAAATCAAATATAGTCTCCAAAGTATGGGTTTTCAAATTTTTATTTATGACAATTTTTTTTTTTTTAAATCACAACCAATTTGTATGATTTACAACATGTAAAACTGACACACCAACCTCCTGTACGAGTGCACAAAGGGGCTCAAAATGTTCTATTCATCACAAGAATCAGTAAATTTACTGTTGGGAATCTGAGCGACTGACATGACTCCTGAGCGGATCTTCAACAATAGTTTAGCAGCCAGGACTCGGGGCTTCCGAACACCGCGAACACCAGGCTAAAGTCCAAAATGTCACGGTCATTGTGCATGAGCTGCCCAGCACAAACTTCCAACCTTTCTGCCTCCTTCACTTGGTCCTCCGTTGTGCAACAAGAGGTGAGACGATAACAATCCGGCTTTAAATTCTGTATATTCGGCAGTTTCTTTTCCAACAACGGACCGAATAGCTTTTCTCACGTCTTTCTCCGCTGCCATTACTGCACTCAAACTGACGCACTACATCAACGTCATCGTTCTCAGCCACTCCCTCTATTCGCTGATTGGTCCTACAAAAAATTGATTTCTGGAAACCTAAGGATATGGAGCGGTCCCAGACGCAGTACTGAAGGAAAATGAAATTGAGCGGAAGTGCGTAGGCGGGCGCAGCCAGGCTAAGATGATACATCTCATTGCTATAACTGTCACGCGCTATTAAAGTGTCACTCCACTTTTTTTGGAAATAGGCTTATTTTACCACTCCCCCAGAGTTAAACAGTTGGGTTTTACCGTTTTCGAATTCAATCAGCCGATTTTCTGATAATTAGAAGAATATCAGTAAACAGACAGTTTCTGGTCTCATTGACTTCCATAGTATATTTTTTTCTTACTATGGTAGTTAATGAGACCAGAAACTGTCTGGTTACTGATATTCTTCTAATTATCAGAAAATCGTCTGATTGAATTCAAAAACGGTAAAACTCAAACGTTTAACCCAGAGGAAGTTGTAAAATTAGCCTATTTCCAAAAAAAGTGGAGTATCCCTTTAAAGAAACACTTCAGTCACATTGTCAAAAGTTAAAAGGACAGTCATTCAACTACAATTTTTTTCAATTTAGTCACAAATTTTGCATGCTTATTTGAGTTAAGAGAACCTGATGGGGATGTTCTTTTAATTGTTATTCAAGCAATGTATGTCTCGTGACCAACTCAACCTGCCGATAAATCGGTCTGGCTCTAGGTCAAACTCAAGGAAAAATCGGAAATTGGGATCGGCCTAGAAAATTGTAATCGGTGCATCTCTAATCATACTGTATCTACATGCACAAGAAAAATGTATTAATATTTTATTAAACTAAGTTTTCTTTAAAAAAAATATATTGTAAATTGTTTTAATTTTCTACTTTGGAATAAATAGCTTGAAATTATGCCTCTATAAATTTATAACCGTAGTAAAGCGTTTCATGCACTGCACTGTTGACACATTAAACTCATGTAGAATAAGTAAATACGTGTTTTGCTCCCACACAGCAAATGTTGGACAGTAGCTCGACAGTGACCTTTAACACTCATCTTGGTAAATCGCAAATGAGATCCGGGCTTTGACTCTTTCCTTGGGAAAACAGAGCCCGCGCACGCTCACACACACACACACACACACAAGCTGCTGTAAATGGAGCTGACTGCACTGATAACAGAACAAAAAGCTTTTCAATAACCTCTTAAAATAGTCCTCGAGTCTTAAGCACTCACATATGTAAACAGACGGCAGGATGGCAAACAGAAGAACGGACAACATACTCACCGAGCAAAGTCAACCCACTTCTCGATGATCTTTTTAGGCGACAGGCGGCGGCATATAATGCCAACAAAGTCAGCCTGAAATAGAGCAGAGAAAACAGAAAATTGTCAAGACACAAAACCATATAGTAAGCATCCGTAATAGGGCTTGACTATATATAAACAGTGTTACAACACAGGAAGAGATATGGTTCATACTGTAAATATCTAGTATGTTCTAGTGTAAGGTGAGACACGGCAGGCAAAAACATTGTTGTTTTTTTTACTGGTCAATTTTGAGATTTTTGTCTTCAATAACATGTCTTCTTTCAGACTTGTGGTGAAAAAAAAGTCCGAAATACACATTTAGGTCATTATTTTACTACACTTTGTCTGTTTGCGTCTGTAGATTTCTCATAAATTCTTCAAAAGTTGTCGTTATAAGTCATCCTGCTGCTCAGTGATCACGATCCGCACCCCGTCATCACACACACAATTAGAAAGCTCTCTTTCTCCTGTACAACACTGTCGGATCAAAATATGGTCATTTCCTTTTTTTATCAGCAACCAATCATGAAAGTAAAAGGGGGATTTAACTCTAAATGTGCAATCTCATTGGCTGATGCTAAATCTTTAAAGCCAGTTTTCTCAAAATGACTTTTCTCTCATTCTCCAAGTCCGAAATCTCCACTTCAGTAGCACCTATATACACCAAACTTTCTAGTCTTGTACCTAGTTATATTATGAAGACATTTACAGAGGGATTTGTAAATATATTATTCCTAGCCTAAATTATATAACATTTTATTCAAAAAAAAAAATGGCGAAAATATTTTTTTTAAGGCTGATTTACAGGATAACAGAAGTAGATATCCATAAATCCTTCTGTAATTTTTTTCTCATCTAATATGTGAACACAATGAAAAAAATAATTTTCAACCTTTATCCAATACTCAGATTTCGTTGTTTTTTTTAATATATGCAAATTAGCGCATATTTAAACATTAAATTACACAAAACTTGTAATATATTTTTTTCTCATCTTAATGTAGGTAATCAACTGGGAAAGTTTCATGGTAATATCTGCTAGTTAAAAAAATGACCCTATTCACCTGTAGTGTCTCGCCTTAAACAAAACAAAAAAAATCAGCCAGAAGAAAATGGGCACATCTGTTGTAGTCAGCTTTGTTCATAATAGCAGCAATTTAAACAATTTAGCAATTCATGGTATGTCATACATTATGTCTGATATCAATACAGTAATGACTAATATCGTTAATATAGAATTCTGCCAAGTACTATTTTATAATATTTTTCAAACTTAAAATTGTATTATTTATAGCGTATAGCTGTTTTGAGTCAAACTTAAAAGGTGTGTTAGCGTCATGACGGAATTACTGTAATTACGAGATCACATCCTTGTTGAACTCGTAATTACATCTTGTAAACTCAGAATTTTCTGAGAGCTGAGGATTGATTTTAGCGTTGACAGTGTAGCCATAAACACATAATTCAGAACAGCTCAGAGTAAAATGTCACGTGTTGTCATCTCATAAATTACGACATGTCGTGAACGCAGCATTACGGCTCATACAAAAGTGTCTGAGCTGAACTACTGAAGATCACAGTGTACATTTGTATATTTAGTCTGTGCTTGTGGGGTCATGCAAAAATATTGTTGGCCCACTTGGCTGCCTGTATGAGACACTTATGTCACTGGGCAAACTGCTGCGATGTATTTTAAAGAGAACTGGAAAGTTTCCTAATATAGATAGACTGGTCACAAATTTCTATTTGTCTAATGCAAACGATTTAAAGATTTATTACGCATTATGAATGTTTCCGATAATCAGTAGATCAAATATCAACATCAACTGCAGGCGGTAGATCCTTATATTTAGCACCAACCCTGTTCGGGATTTGCCTGTACTTACGCTGCTATATATAAAGAACTGAACTGAGCTGGACGATGACATCATATTTTGCAGAACTGCTTTTATTAATTCATTAATTGACGATCTTTACAACAGAACTGATCAACAATGAACTGACTTCAGCTGAACAACTGCTGAAATCCACCATTTTCCTGTTATCACTGTAAGCGCTATATAAACAACGGTGACTAGACTTGACTTGAGCAAGAAACTGAAAATGAGGTGCTATGACTGTAAGCAAGAGACGTACGTTCTCCTCGTGCAGGGCAATGTGGTGTGTGGCCAACATGCGAATGCCAAGACGAGACGTCAACGTCGTGTCCAAGAAATTGCGAACCAGAGTCTCGTCCTGTGCAAAAATGTAAAAAATAAAATACATTTAGGTCAGGTTCACTGATATATATATATATATAGTCTTTTTTTTCATGAATAAACAAACACTGTTAAGTTGTCTTGATTGATACTGTGAAGCAGCTTTGATACAATCTGTATTGTTAAAAGCGCTATATAAATACATTTGACTTGACGTGTATATATCAGTGAACCAATGTATATATCAACCAATGTTATTGTGTATATGGACCAGGCAGAAAGATGCTAAAGTAAGATTCTTCTGCTGAGGGTGAAAAAAACACTAAGGTTTTGGAAATCTTACCAAAATGTGTTTACGACATTCCCTGAATCCTTCAGCTAACATGGTGACAACATCTTTGTGATCATCAAGAAGCTGTTTTACAAGTTTGCTGTAGCGAGCCTCAGTCTCCTGGTCTTTAATCTGAAGATAAAAACATTGGTGGAAAGGTTAGCAAAATAATATTAAACGGTATTTTTTCAAATATAATAGACAATGTGCAGTCATTATAGCTAAATAAACCCTAGGAGTGGTGATCTGTCGTAGCCCTCAAACCGTATTCACTTTATAGCCCTTAATTGTGGACAAATGTGGGCACAGAGGACTCGGGTGTGATCCTACTTTTTATTTATTATAAATGTTCTATCACTATCTTCGATAAAGTTTTGTCTATCCATTTATGGTGTTTTTGTTTTATTTTGGGGGTATTTTTGAATTTATTTACTTCAAAAAGTACCATATTTTCTATGTAAATTATGTTTATTTTTATGTTTTATTTTATTTTTTAACTACATTAAAATATCATTCCTAAAACCTAAAGATGCTAAAAACCTAACCTAAACCCTTATTTTAGAATGCTCTAAATTAGTTTTTCCCATTCATTTCTATAGGTGCCCATTTTTCCTCCAAATACAAGATTAAGGAGGGGTTTTTTTCCACCCACTTAACATTGTAAAATTGATTCAAAAAAATTGTGTGTGCTCAGGAGGCAAACTTAGGAAAAGTAGCCAAGTCTTGTACCGCTCAGATCAAGGGAAGTATTTTAAAAAAAAATAAATCAAAACTATTTTGCCCACATTTGTCCAGAATACGGTTTTAGGGTTAACTGTTATTCCGCTTATGTGGCTTCATAGAAAACTAAATAAATTGATCCAGTTACTCTAGTGGAAAATGGCTGGACACATTTTAATGAATTTGTTTCTCATGACCTTTTTATATAAAGTTTGTACTTGGATGCTTGAAAGCACTTTCAAAAATTATTAAAAAATGTAATTAATTCAGTTTTTCAAATGGATAGTTTGGATAATTAACTAGAGTAATCCCTTCAGTTGCCATTTTTACATTTAGCAGATATTGTGCAAAACGGGGATTTTTAATTTCATCATAAGCAAACTTGCATTAGACATTCATGAGTCAGCATTCTACATAGTCTAAGTCGGTGAGTCAGTCAACATTAAAGACTAATGTTTCACTGGAGAGAGGCGATACCTCCACCCACACACACACTTCTACATCGGCTGAACCAGTACACTACACTCACAGGCTTCTCAGGTTACATAAATAATTATGGAAATATACAAGCTGGTCAACAGTTGACAAAGCCATGTATGAATTCATATGTCCAGGTCATCTTGAACTTACAGCTGGGAAGTCGCTCAGCATGTGGTAGGCCCTGATATAAAGCTCGTGCTGTGTGGAGAGAGAGAGAGAGAGAATGGATGAGTACAATATATGGGTAACAAATGTGCTGTGGTACGGTTCCTGGAGCTGGTGTTCCCAGAGGCCTGTGTGCTTCATCCTTCCATGAACCCCATTCCTGGCCCCTCACCAACCCTCCACAAGCACATGGCTTACATTCTTCTAAGGATTCGAGGAACACATTTCAATAAGAAGATAGGAGGAGTGACTGGAAAACACAAACGTGCTAAAGGTTCTGAATGATCTTAATGGAAAAGTAGGGGTGTAACAAAACCCTCATGTCACGATTGGATATCACACATCACACATACTGAATTCAAAATACTCCAAGACCTATGATAAAATATGTACTGTTGATTACAATGCTGAATTTTATTTTACACTGTGGGTGTAAATGAACAGACTTGGACTTGTAATGCAATGCACAGGACAGTGGTGACACCAGACACCAAAAATAAATATGCTTGCACTCATATCATTCATATCATAATGTAGCCACTTTTTACTGGTAACGCAAGACATTTGGCATTATCAGGACTCAAAAATATTCCCCCATTGCATTGTTGTACAATACATTCAACATTATATAGCCAAGTAGTTTAATGTAGTACTGACACAAACTTCTTGATACATACTGTTGCATTTTTGTATTGCCAAGTATTGTGACACCCCTATAGAGAAGGCAACTGACTTTTTGTCAGTTTTCACTTTTAATGGTTTGTATCTCACGATTATAGATGATTATATCAAATAATTTCTTATTTCTAAAGTTCTACATTTCTAAATTCCTAGTAAAACTATAGGTAAATATATTTGATAATCAAAAATGGCATCCACTACTTTTCAAAAGATTGGGTTTGGTAAGTTTTATGATGTTTTTGAACAATGTATTATGCTTACCTAACAAATGTTTATGCGCAAAATGTTAGTTTATCAAAAACAAAACGAAACAGCAAAAACAGTAAATTCATAATTTAAAATGGTTTAAATTCAGGGTTCGTACACCTTTTCCAAGGTCAAATTCAAGCACTTTTCAAGCACTTTCAAGGTCAATTTTAAAGTTTTTTCCAGGACCTTATTCACCGTAAATTACAAACCAATACATAGTAAAAAAATATTATTTTGCGGTTTTTCCACATTAAAAGAGATAGTGTGAAATAAACAGGCAAAATTGTGTTTCGTAATAGCAGAAGGATCAGATATTGAAGCAAAACACAGGTTTTATTTTTCAAAATGTTGTTAGAGGATTTGATCCAAATGACATGCAGTAGGGGTGGGCGGTATGACGAAAATTCTGTTTCACAGTTTATTTTTCACGGTTTAATTTTATTTTACGGTAACGATATATTTCACGTTATAGTTATTTATACATGTAGTTATTCTCCAAAAATCATCATAAAGGGCTTTGTATACTAAATAAACCCAAATACTTCAGAAATGAAAAGTTATTTTCCTTGTTTGACTCTTATTTGGCAAATAATTTATTTGGCAAACTATTTTGATAGCTAAATATAGTGAAAAAACATTAACTTTTAGAAGAACTTCCCCCAACTGACTGATATTACAACACTCATAGGTGCTCATAGGCACTCAATATACAACTCATAGGTGCAATTAAACTTTAAATAAAGTGTTGCTGAATCATTTTTCAATCTCATGTTATTGCTTTACCTTATCAATCAGTTTATAATATCTAAATATTTTATTTTGAACTATTCTATTCATAATAATTTAGTAACTTCCTTTTAATTTGGTAGGACAATATTAGCAATACTATTATGTTTAAACGTGTTCCCCGGTACATTTTTTGCCATGTCTGCTTATTATACTTCGTTTTTAAGGGCCTTGTTCTGCTCTTTTTGTGATATCTGGCAACCCGTCACCTGGAGCTTTCAAGAGACGTTCAGAATCAGTTGTGTCAAGTTCAGAAGTGACTAGAAGGAAAGCAGCAGTATGAAAACCATACAGCAGCTACTGTTAATGTTGACTAAGCAGTTATACACCCCTATATTATACACACCTTGTAACTGCGTCATTATTTAATATGTTACAACTTACAACAGCCGCGGTACACACTGAAACACCAAGATCACGGTGCACGCGCGTCCTTTGCATCAGTAAAATGCGATCGGTTCATTTGAGCGTCAGGTTGTATCACGGATCGAATCAAATGAAGATTTTATCAGCTGGTTCAGAGGCCAATTGTTTAGAGTTAGAAATTTATAATTCGCGCTGCATATTTAGTAATTTTGCCTCAGGTCCCGATCCGAGACTACCTGGAGGAGGTGCTCCCGAGTTCGGCTGGTCCCGAACCGTGCCGCGGTTCGCGTGAATGTGAAAGAATCACGGACAGGACTCGGGTGCGCACTTAGTAAAGTGACCTGTGCATGCGTTTTACTTTTAGCTGATTATGATGTAAAATAAAAACACATGTATAAGGATGATAGTGTTGATGATTTACCTTGGATACGAGCGAGAGTAAGTCTACAGTGCACACACATATAGCGCGTGGACTCAGGCAAACAAATTATTAGAAGTCCACTGTCTCGTTTGCAAGCAGCAGAGAGCCAAATGCGATACACAGTAAACCTGTTGTTCACTCAGCTGCGCATAATAACAACACAATATATTGACCCGTGTTCTGTTTTCTATCATGCGTCGTGCACGTTTGTGATGACGTAAGATGCACGCAAACGCACCAGGATTTGATAGAATCAAGTTGAGTGTGAAACCAGGCCAACGCTGCGGGGGGCGCCGGTAACAAACGCGCTCGGGCCGCAGCAAATGATTTATTTCATTTTCATTATTTATTTCGCCATTTAATAAACAAAATATTCAGTCAGATAGGTATTTGTTGTGAAAGAAACAGTTACAATTTCAAGCACTTTCAAGCATTTTTTCCAAATTTAAGCACTTTTCAAACCTTGAAAACACAACATCAAAATTCAAGCATTTTCAAGGATTTCAAGCACCCGTACGAACCCTGTAAATTGTAGTTACATTTATTATTGTAAATTATTTACTCCAGTCCAGGAATATTATAGTTATCTGAAACTAAAAAAAAAAAAAAAAAAAACTAATCTTAAACCTAATTTCTTTTAATTTAACGATGTACACGTTCAACTATTTAAAAATATTAAATAAACAACAATTCAAAATATTAATAACAACTATAACAGTTTCTCAATGATAACAAAATAGCACTGCTCCATTCTTCAGTGATTCTAAATCATTCTTGTCTTTACTGTTTCTTTTGATCAACTGCTGAATAAAAGGATTGATTTATTTTATATATATATATATATATATATATATATATATATATATATATATATATATAAATATATATATATATATATATATATATATATATATATATATATATATATATATATATATATATATATATATATATATATATATATAGTGACCCCAAACTTTTGAATGGTAGTGTGTGTTAATAATATTTCTACTGGGAAAATACTTAAGTTTATTGAATTGTTCTGAACATCTCTGGAGTGAACTGGTGAGTTCTAGGGTTGAGTATCAAGAACCGGTTCCATTTTAGAACCAAAAACTTGATACCTGAATATCATAAAACATATCTCTTCGTCGTTTGTCTTAATCATATCTTTATTAAGTTGTATTTGTGCATTTGCTAATATGTTTATTTGTTCTTTTTTTAAGTGTTTACTTGCATTTAATAATGCTTGAAATTTATATTAATCAGGCTAGTTGTATTTTTAAACCATAGAAAAAAGGTTCCTTGCGTAAGTGTTCTTTAACCTGTTGATTTGTGTTCGTGGTATTCAGCTACAATGAAATGCTTTACAATAAGACTTAGAATAAATGTGGGTTAGGGTTAGGTTTCTTTTGTTAACCTTCTTTGAATCGAAATTAGGAATCGATAAGATTAAAATTCAAACGATTCTCAACCATATCTCCCTCAAGGAAAACGAAACAAGCTATACGTAGATGAGACTCTCTTTAGGCAGATGTGGGTAAAAGTTCACAGGAGGAGGACGACAACTCGCAGAAGGAAGTAAACAAGGAGGAGAAAGGGGAGGGACATGTATCCTCTTTCGGCTTATTACTTGCCTATTGTGTTTTTGTTTTATTTGTAACTGGACCATGAAAATGAGGATTGACTGTGATAGTGCTTTTTGTTATTTATGTTTTTGGATTGAAGAGAGGAACAGCTCACAGACCAGGACATCACCACATAACATATAGTGGTGTCCAAAAATCAACACTGTAATCTAATCTAAACCTGAACATCTTCTGACTGCAGAGTGATTCTGGATTTTTTTTTTAAATTGTAGAGTTTGTGCAGCTCGAGTTCTTCTGTCATTAAAGCAAAAATAATAATATTGTAATAAATAATATCATAATTAAATTAGAAAAAGGGAAAACAGAAGCCTTTTCACTGGTGGTAGTGGCCCCCACTGTAGGCAAAATGATGGAATAATACAATGCACAAATAAAACATGATTTTTTCATATAGTTCATAAAACTTTCATAAAAACTATTTTTTCATATAGTTTGCACTATAAACAAAACATGAAAGAGGGTGTCTACCCATTCAGTCAGTAAGCCCAGTTTACCGTCAACATGAAGAACAGAACCACAGAAGTTAAGACCAATCAATCGGTCAAGCTTATTTATTTGATTCATTTATTTGAAACAGAAATACCGTATTTAGCAACATTTCAAATGCCTTTACCATCACTTTTGATCAATTGAATGCATCCTTGCAAAAATAAAAGTAGCAATTTATTTAAAAATCTTGCCGACAGGTAAGGCAATTTGATTTTTCTGAGGAAAGTTACATGGTCTGATGGATTTCACAATATGACCTCACTCAACTTAAGTGGGGTTTGATCAACACTGACATTGAATCGAATTCAGTTCTCTGTCTTAACACTGTGCCAAAGTTAACCGACCCCAGCTCCTCTTCACCTAATATGCCCTGATTGCCCTCTGAGAGCATCAACAGTGGAGTTTCTTCAACAAACCAACTTGTAAGAGAGACGGTAACCCTACCCGTCACATCAGAATGAATGATAATGGAGAAAAACTACAGACATGTAGGGGAACTCACCACTTGGAGAATGGTTGGGTTGCAGCCGATAATGAAGGGAAGGCTGCGGAAGCCCTTAATGCGATGTGCGATACGGACAGGCAGCTCTTTGTGCAGATACTTGGCACTGCTCTGCATTGAATCAAATGACACAGAATGTAAAGCTGAAGCATTTTCTCCCACCACTAAAAATATATTAACAGAACTAACACTACTACAGTACATTAATATGTGGATATCCTATGATATGTTTATAGTACCACCACTGCCGCATCTAGGAGTCTACAGTACACATATAGAGGGATGGTCCTCAATGCAGAACACGAAATCCAGATCCAGATCCAACTCCTCCCACCTTACATATACCTAAACCTACCCATCTCCGCCCCCTGATCCCTAACCCCACCCCTAATCCTACCCATCTCCACCCCCTGATCCTTAACCCCACCTCTAATCCTACCCATCTCTGCCCCTGATCCTTAACCCCACTCCTAATCCTACCCATCTCCACCCCCTGATCCCCAACCCCACTCCTAATCCTACCCATCTCCACCCCCTGATCCCTAACCCCACCTCTAATCCTACCCATCTCCACCCCCTGATCCCTAACCCCACTCCTAATCCTACCCATCTCCACCCCCTGATCCCTAACCCCACCCCTAATCCTACCCATCTCCGCCCCCTGATCCCTAACCCCACCCCTAATCCTACCCATCTCTGCCCCTGATCCTTAACCCCACTCCTAATCCTACCCATCTCCACCCCCTGATCCCCAACCCCACTCCTAATCCTACCCATCTCCACCCCCTGATCCCCAACCCCACCCCTAATCCTACCCATCTCCGCCCCCTGATCCCTAACCCCACCCCTAATCCTACCCATCTCCACCCCCTGATCCCTAACCCCATCCCAATCCTACTCATCTCCACCCCCTGATCCCCAACCCCACTCCTAATCCTACCCATCTCCACCCCCTGATCCCCAACCCCACCCCTAATCCTACCCATCTCCACCCCCTGATCCCCAACCCCACTCCTAATCCTACCCATCTCCACCCCCTGATCCCTAACCCCACCCCAATCCTACCCATCTCCACCCCCTGATCCCTAACCCCACCCCAATCCTACCCATCTCCACCCCCTGAACCCTAACCCCACCCCTAATCCTTAGATCTGGATCCAACTCCGCCCCCTGGATCTTGTGTAATGCAATGAGATGGTAATGCACATAGAGGATTGATGATCTCCAAAGCAATAATGATGAATACAGATGAAAAGTTTTTAGAAGACCAGCACCAATGTGGGTTGTGATAAATATAGGACAGTAGACAGGAGTGTGTAATTACCAGGATATGTTGTCCATCAGGAGACTTCCCAACATACAGCATTGTGGCTGGTGTCAGTCTGACAGAAGGCTGTGAAAAGAACATTGCTGTTAAAAATAGCATATACTTTAAATATAACTTGATTTGATGATGTGCGTGGCTGCGTGCTGAGACTCTTACGCACAACTGATGCATTTTAGCCCGTTTTGTAAAATGATCATTTAATTTTATAGGATATGAAGACTAAGGGGCAGTTTACACACCGTTTTCAGCTAAAATTGACAAAAACTAGTTTTGGGCGTTTTAGCCGCTCATTTACACAACAACGGCATTTTGAGGGCCTAAAAATGCAAGCTTTTGAAAATGGATTTCAAAGTGCAAGGCCTGGACTCAGAGAAGCCAGTTCATGTGTAAATGATTCTTCATGCTCCTTCCAAACCATTCTTTTACAGTTTGAGCCTTATGAATCTTCACATTATAATCCTGCAATATGGCCATGATGAGTCTTCCTCTTCCTACATGGTTGTTTAATGCATTTAATGCTCCATGAGGATGAGTAAAAGATGACTACAACTATTCAATTGGTTTTAAATTGTTTAACTTGAGAAAATGTACATAATGAACGTGTTAGTACAAAAAGTGCAGTGCCAGAGCACAGTAATCACATTGGGTTTTGTTGAGTCACCCACCCAGTCCCAGTGAGATGCTCAAAGTAGGACAGGTTTACATAAGCATACCGTGCAAACCAGCACGACTTAGACCATGATGGACATTCAGACGTGTTGCTTTTTTATCATGCAATCAAGTGTAAGAACAAATACAATGCACTTGTCAAATGGTTGAGGGTTTTTTAAGCCTACTGCCCTTGGCTTGGTGTGTGAGACCTGTGAGTGTGTGTAGACCTCATGGCTGTTTAACTGCTGACACCTACGATGTTTGCCAGCAAACAAAACACAGTTTTGGGTATTGGACAATGGTAACGGGGGTAAAGTAAAACTTTTAAACATTGCAGGACAAAATAATGTTATTAATCACCATTGTAAGTGAGCACATTCTGGTTATTGTTGACTGACTTCACACATTCACTATATCACCTTGTCACTTCCTGATAATTGTAAAAAAATGTATCAGAAAGTTAAGTTAAAAGCAGTTATATTTATTAAAATTATTAGTTATATTAGTTATTAGTTATAAATTATACGTTAGTTGAGGCTCTCGGTCAGTGTGATGACATCACTAATGACCGTCAAAAATAGGTTCATTAGGCCATCCAAATTATGGATGGAGACCATAGCGTATCGACCTCCATTGTCGGGGGATTAAGTTAAAGAGACAAGAGTTGATTCAAAAACATCGGGAAATGGTGACTGACCTTCTCGGCAGATGCGTCGATGGCAGACTGGTTGTAAAAAGACGTAACGGTTTTGGACCGCTCCCGAGCCAGCTCAGTGTAACTGGACATGGACGATGTAGATCGAAATCTTTTGTCGATGCCGGTCGACTGCGGAGCGGAGGCTTTAGCTGACGGGGATAGAAAGAGCCTGGCTACGCTGATCCTGGAGCCGCCGCTGCCCAGCAGCTCCATGGCCTGGCCTGTCACGCGTCCGCGCATTTTCACACTCTGATAACGCAAATAACAAACAAAAAAACAACCCCTTGTCTGTAAGTTAAAACCTTTCTATCTCGCCATCCAAAAAGCTAGTGTATGTGTGCACAAAGGCTGCATGTCTCCAGCACCATCACATCACAAGATGTGAAAAATGCCGTCTCTTGTGGTGTTTATCTGAAGACAGTTGCGATCAGCCAATCAGCGATGAGAGGAGGCGGGGCTTTTGGGTCATCACGACCTCAGTAGCAACGGAAAGCCACGAGTCACGGCGCAGCACAAGGACAATGAGACAGACACACAAAGTGCGCACTTCCTTTGACAACACCACATACTTTCAGTACTTCTCTGTGAAGAGAACGTTACATTTATAAAGTTTAACTAATTGATATATGTATGTTTAAGTTTCTTATTAAATTCTTAAACACCCAAATAAGTGGAGAGTGGGATGAGTTGTGTCAAGTTTTCCTTAAAGGGACCCCCCCCCCTTTTGTGTTACCGTAATCAACAAATTACATCATGGCAAGTCATTTTTTGTGGTGAATCATCACTTTTATGTGAAGAAAGAAGAAATAAAAAAAAATTTAGGCCTAAGTAAAAATCAATATTCCAAGCTCTGAGTTAGGGAATAAGTGAGGTAATAAAATAAATGCCACACTAATCCCATTCCAAAGTCTAATTCTGCTTTCAAACCATTTAAAGAGATACTACACCCAAAAAAAGGGAGAGCTCAAGCATTAGTTGAGTAGAGTGAAAGAGTACCTCTGCACCACCAAAATATTCGTCCACTTGAGAAGACAGACCTCTGTATAAACTTGCAATAAAATATTTTACAGAGTCTGGACTATTTTAAGATGTAAAGTGATTGGAAATAAAACATTAAGCATATGGTTTGAGCAGGCAGATAGGCTACAGTCTGTAATGATTCAAAAGCAGCTCATACTTTTCTATAGCTGTGGTGAAATGTGAAAATGTAGCACACCCACTTGAGAGCCGGAGAGGCAGAAATCAGAAAACTTTTATGTTACACAGACCAATTAATCTGCTTCAGCAACGTGTGTAGCCTATCTCTGCATCAGTTTAGCAACTAGTCAGATTGTGAACGTGTCAAATGAATATGAAGTGTGAAGCATGAATGAGTCATGTAAATAAGTAAATGGTGTATGACACCAGTTTATTTATTAAAACAAAAACATCAAAAGTCCTGTTTTGTCATTATTTTTTGACAGTCTTTTCTCTGAAATTAAAGGGGTCCTGTTATGCCTACCTTTCTTTATTGTGTAATCTTGCTGTTTGCACATGAAAAACCTCAAAGTCACTCCATAGGGAGTTACTCTCTATTAGTGCACACTGTTTCTGAACTCCCTGAAACGCCCCAGTGTAGTCTTGAGTTTTCTTTCGGGAACAAACACATCACAATATTTCTCATTTAAAATAATTCCCACCCAAGGCATACGCAAAATAAAGGGGGTAAGGGCTGGTGGAGTTGCATTAATGGTGTGTTGAAACTCACGGTTACATTAAGGGGGTGACATTTCTGAAACACACTCGAAGTGGTTGAGCAATCAAAACACTGGTCCAGCCAACCAATCAGAGCGCTTAGTTTCTGCTTAGGTTCAGAGACAGAAACAGAGCTGTGCTTCTCAAAAGCATCGTGAGCTAAGTTCAGGGTTCCCACACCTTGGTTAGCTTCAAATTCAAGGACCTTTCAAGGACTTTCCAGGTCCAATACTCTCAAATTCAAGAACTTAATGTGGGACACATGTGTTGTGTCCAATAACAAACGTTGGGATACCATCGTAGTAGTTTTGTGCGTGAACATCATGGCAATGTACAACACAAAGTACCTCACGCAGGAAACACAACGTCACGCGTAAATGTGCCTAACTAACGTAAATGAAGAAAGCTAGTATACATAGGCCACAAAGTGTTGGCAAAATAACACATTAGCGGACCGGAGGGAATAATATGGATTTTTTTTCCAGAAAATGTTTTACACAAAATAAATTCAAGCACTTTCAAGGCCATTTTTTCAATATATGTTGATTTTCAAAAACTTTCCAGGGCCTTAAATTTTTTTTCTTCAGATTCACAAACTTTCAAGGATTTCAAGGACCTGTGGGAACCCTGTAAGTTGATCATAGAGACTATTGATGCCAATGGTTCTATGATCTTCCTATAGACCCCAAAAACAAAATTAAGAGATTGAAAAATGGCATAATAGGTCCCCTTTAATATTTTTTGGAAAACCAAAATAAAAAATATATGTGAATGAGTTTGCAATTACAAATGCCTTCTACCGACTAAAACTAGTAAAAGTGGACAAAATCAGTCTTTCTCTGTCTCTTTGAGACAATAAGCCTTAAAAACAGGTGAAGTCTTCATTTTCTTTTTAACTCGCCTCAAACAATCACAATCTCAATTCAAGTCGGGTTCAGACATGCAAAGCAACATCATGGCAATGAACAACACAAAGTACCTCACGCAGGAAACACAACGTCACGCGTAAATGTGCGTAACTAACGTAAATGAAGAAAGCTAGTATGCATAGGCCACGAAGTGTTGGCGAAATAACACATTAGCGGACCGGAGGGAATAATATAGATTTTTTTTCCAGAAAATGTTTTACACAAAATAAATTCAAGCACTTTCAAGGCCATTTTTTCAATATATGTTTATTTTCAAAAACTTTTTTTTTCTTCAGATTCACAAACTTTCAAGGATTTCAAGGACCTGTGGGAACCCTGTAAGTTGATCATAGAGACCATTGATGCCAACGGTTCTATGATCTTCCTGTAGATCCCAAAAACAAAATTAAGAGTTTGAAAAATGGCATAATAGGTCCCCTTTAATATTTTTTTGAAGACCAAAATAAAAACAATATGTATGAGTTTGCAATTACAAATGCCTTCTACCGACTAAAACTAGTAAAAGTGGACAAAATCAGTCTTTCTCTGTCTCTTTGAGACAATAAGCCTTAAAAACAGGTGAAGTCTTCATTTTCTTTTTAACTCGCCTCAAACAATCACAATCTCAATTCAAGTCGGGTTCAGAAATGCAAAGCAATAAGGTGAAATACTGCCAGCAACTGAACATTTCTTTTTCTCAGTGATTCTCTCTCTTCCAAACCACAGCCATATTCTTGTCAGTAAGGGCAACTAAGTAATGTAGATCAGGATCCATGGCTATGCTGTTAATAGAAGGCCCCTCTAACGCACCCTTTCCAGCTCGAACCGGCGACGGCCACTCCAGCACCTGAAATAACACGAGCAAAAGAGGAAAATGAGATCCAGGAGCTTTGTATACAACCACAATAATCACTCTAGAGCTGACATGTTGACACTTTCTTCATGGATTTAGTGTGCCTATACTGTAGCTAGCAGAATTATTTTGGAAAGAAAACTTGAACAAACAAAACACCCAAAAGTAGTGGCTATTGCTTACTTGATTTAATTTCATTTTTTTGGTATAAAACAATGCATTTAGGTTGATTCAACAATATTAAATTACATTTTTGACTAGAATAAAACCAGTTCATTAGGACATTATTATTTATAATTCACCGTTTATTTTAGTACATGCCTTAAAGGGTTAGTTCACCCAAAAATGAAAATTCTGTCAGCATTTACTCACCCTCATGTCGTTCTAAACCTCTATGTGTTTATTTGTTCTGCTGAACACAATGGGGATTGAGATCTGTTTGCTTAAAACATTCTTCCAAATATCTTCCTTTGTGTTCAGCAGAACAAATAAACACATAGAGGTTTGGAACAACATGAGGGTGAGTAAATACTGACAGAATTTTCATTTTTAGGGGGTGAACTAACCCTTTGAAATATTACAAATAAACCCAAACTGTATCGTTAACCCACCAATGGCTAACTTACCTCAGTGGCTGAAATGATTTTTCCACTCTTGAAGTTTTCCATCAATGTGTCTGTGATATGGTACATCCAAAGTCTGCCTTGATCATCCCCACACACAACATAACCATAACCTACAAGAAAAAACAATCACACATCAGTTTTGCCATCAGATTTTCTGCATATATGCATACAAATCTCACAAGTGATTGGTATATTATTAATGAGTACTGCCCAGACAGACTTTTTTTTGTCCCTATAGGGGGGTGTCGCCGGTTCGAGCTGGAAAGGGTGCATTAGAGGGGCCTTCTATTAACAGTACAGGACATACCATATATGTCATTTCATACACACAACATTATTACCTGGACAGGTGCCTAGAGACAGGTATGGGATCTCAGTGCTGGACCACTTCAGCTCTGCCAGAACAACAGCTGCCACCTCTTTCTTTCTGCTATTCCAAGATGCCCGTGTAGCTCTCCAGCTCCACAGATAGATAGAGCCCTGCATGTGGCTCTTGGACGCTGGGAGGAGAAATGACAACCATCATTACTGCCTTCAATAAAAAGGCCACAAAATGTTTTAAAGGTGGGATAGGTAGAAATTTTCTAAAACAAAAAAAAACTTTCTCCCAAATTTGTTTAAACTGTCTATATATATACCAATACATAATTAAAATGTAAGTACCGTGAAAATGAAAGTATACAAATCGAGTGTCTGTAGTAATCTCAGTGCTGCAATAAACACAGCTCATTATTTCATTCACTCCACCCCCTCCCGTCTGGGATCCTTACAAAGCCACGCCCCCAAAACACATGAATGCGACCGCGCTCAGCTGGAGGACTGGAATGGACTGTTTGAATGGAATGATGAGAAATTCATTGCCTAGTTCAGGGAATTTTACTGTATTTCTTTCTTTTTTTTCAGAAGAAGAATTCAATATTGTTCTTTAACAATAAATATCAGTAACTGCTTTTGTGTCTTTGCCAAATGACCTCCATTACAGTGCAGTACTGTAAATTTGATTTGTGCTTCTTGTTACAAATGACAGACATGTTTCTGATCTTGTTCTCATGGTTCTTTACACTTGGACCAAACTGCTCTTCAGACAGTCATTAGAGTACAGCATGTTCCTGGCAGAAGGACAGGTCACAGTTGGTTTACAACAGCACTGTTCCCCCTACTGAGAGCGTCCCGAGACACAGACTGGGATACTCAGCACATCCCATTCCTCATTCATTTGATTTCTGGGCTTCAATTTATTTAAAATGAGTAGGGACAGTGGCACCTGAACTTTTGATTGGTCAAAATATGCGACTTCAAAACATT